CTGGTCACACATGGTCAGGATGGTCAAGCAATAAACACACAACCAAGTTACAAGATTATCCTCATCCGAAGACTGCAATTTCTCGTGTTCGAGTTTTTAGCCATTTATATCCCTTTGCATGAATAGATGGGAAGGCTTGAGGCTTTCTGAAGGATTTGGCCACAGTATTCGAATATACATGCCCGCCAGTGAATGGCATAGTGTGAAGTCTAGTGATCTAGTAACTAGACTTGTTTCATCTCATTATTTAACACAGTAATGTTTAAACATATTGCATGGTAATACTGCTACTGATTTGGATAGTGGCCAGAAAACTGAGGCTTGGAGATGGTTCTGATGCACTCCCTACAGTCCAAATTAAAGTGTAATTTATATACAGCAGTAGTTAAAAAAGTCATTTTCTACTCCACTTATGTTGTACCACACTTCATGCAAGGTGACTGAATTTACAAACAAGTGAGCAGGATTGAATAAAGCTTACTACTTAGAATGAAGGCTCCACTCACCATAAAAAGTGATTTGCTTAATGAGGTAAACAGACGTGACAGTAGTGCACTGAGCATGGGGGGGGGGGGGGGGGGGGGGGAGATTCTAAAAGGCAAAAAAAAAACAAGTATATCTGTAATTCACTGACAGGAAATAAAAATTGATGGAACCGCTGCAGAATGGCTACCGATTTGACATTTTGTGAGGTATGATTTAAAGGTCATCATTTTGTGCGAGTAATTTTTGCTCACCGCTTAAATGGAGAAAATTCAATTTTGATTCTTTTCATCGAGAAACTTTCAAACAAACAGTTTGAAAAGTTTGAGAGGTTTACTCGGGGTCAGCCGGGTGTCTGACGCATGCGGAAACTCGTCACCATGTTTAAGAGTTTCCAAACCGAACTGAGAGTTCCGTGCAGTTCACCTACACTTGGAATGCATTGAACTCTCAGTTGCAGATAATTGAGATGAAGGATTGGTAATGTTCTTGAAAGTATCTTAATTACCTTTTTTTGGAGGAGAAAGAACTTAGTCAAGATTTTGCTTAGAACTACAAGCACGATCATTGGCATTTAAGTCTCCTCCTGAGATTTTCTACTGGGCCAGTCACTGACACAGGAACACTTCTCTCAGTTAATGAGTAGTTCAGTGGGTTGGTTTTCTCAGCAGGAAGAGCTTTCAATTCTCAGTTGTCCAAATGTTTAAGTGGTATCTTCTTCGCTGTCCAAATATCAGCTGGGAAATATGAATGAATGCTGTGATCCTTCTGTGAAAGGTTTTGAGGAATACAGACTGGCAGGTCTCAAATATCAGAACCATTTTCTTTGAACTTTGGATGCTGCTGTTCATCAATGGGATAGTACAGAATTAAAACGGAGGTTAAAACTCCTAGTCTGAACTGCAGCTATATAGAGCAAAGCTGTTGGCAAGTTATTTCCTTGGGAAGTTTTGACGCAAGCCCTCCATCTATTTGATCCAATGATTATCCTTGTTCTTAGGAAAGGAGACTTTGAATATATTGGAGAAATAAATAGCGAACGAGTGTCAAAATCATCACAAGTTTATCTGATTCATGTCCTCCCACATGTTTTACTGATTTTTATTTGAAATGTCATCATAATTGATCTTGCTCATAAAAGTCTAATAGACTGAGAACACTAAACTTCTCAGCGAGGGTATTTGTAGCTTTTTTGCTGCCATAATGTAGTCTGCATCCTTATGAAAGGATTAGAGTATAAGAGTAGGGAAGTCTTGCTGCAACTGCATAGGGCCCTGGTGAGACCACACCTGGAATACTGTGTGCAGTTTTGGTCTCCTTATTTAAGGAAGGATGTTCTTGCCTTGGAGGAGTGCAGCGTAGATTTTCCAGGTTAGTACCAGGGATGAAGGGGATGAGTTACGAGGATAGGCTGACCAATTTGGGCCTATATTCTCTAGAATATAGAAGAATTAGAGGGGATCTTATAGAAACCTATAAGATCATCAAAGGGCATGATAGAGTAGATAGTGGGAGATTGTTTCCCGTGGTTGAAGAAACTAAAATCAGGGGTCACAACCTTAAAATCAGAGGCCAGCCCTTTCGCACTGAGTTGAGGAAGAACTTCTTCACTCAAAGGGTGGTGAATGTATGGAACTCACTACCCCAAAGGGCTGTTGATGCTCAGTCCTTGAACATATTCAAGACTGAGATAGATAGATTTCTTATTGCAAAAGGGATTAAGGTCTATGGGGATAAGGCAGGGTTAGGTTATTAGCTGGAGTTTGATTAGATGATCAGCCATGATTGAATGGCGGGGCAGGCTCGAAGGGCCTACTCCTGCTCCTACATGGTATGTTATGTTATGTTATGCATCCATTATTAAGGTTCCGCACTCCTTAAGACCTATCCTCCTTGGCCTTAAGGCCCATCAACCATGCTTTCGGTCAGCCAATTTGGGAGCCCTATCAGCTGTGTGAAGTGTACGTAAAAAACAAAAAAATTGTGATTTACAATACGTAGTTTGATGTGGATAGAAAGACGAGATGCTAGAGGATAAAGACAGTCTACTTGGGTTTGCTGATCAAATCTATCTTCTAATGAATCCCAAGAGCTGAAAGTAAAATGAATTCTGAAAAAGATGGGTTAGTCTACAGGAAAAAAAATCATATAATGCAAAGCTGGGGGAATTACTTATTGCTAACAGTTTGCTGTGGACTCCTACTGCTTTCCAATAGAAGGGTGTAAATAAGGGACTGGAAAACATTGGCTTTTATAGCTTGTGCTGTGTTGTTTTGGCATTGACATTACTAACTTGATGTTCACTTTAAATCTCTTCTGATTTCCCAGTGGATCTGGGTGCGTTGAGGATACAGCCTATAACTCTCGAACCTTCATTTCAATTCCTATTCCTGCTGCTGTTCTCTACAAACCTGGACAGTTCTGTTATGAAGTGAAGGCAGGGCTGCTTCACATCCCACAGATTACACAGTCAATTCACTTCACAGTGTATTCTGTGAAGCGCTTTGAGACATCTCTACTGCTGCGTCTGCTATCGGCTTGTAGTCACTGTTTCTCCCCGAGTTACAAATGTCATAAAGTTCTGTAGCTCAGTGGTTAGAGCACTCGCCTCACAAGCGAGAGACCTGGGTTCAATTCCCGGCAGGTCGAAACGTTGGGTAGGTTTCCTTACTCCACGCTCACGCCTCTGTTTACCTAGCAGAAGGTAGGAACCCGGTTGTTAGTCGATTGACGGATCGCTTTTCTGGGGGTAATAATTCCTTCCAAAAATTTTTAAATAATTGGTCACTCAATCCACGACTGTTTGTGGGACACTGCTGTGCGTAATTGGCTGCTACATTTCGCCCACGACATATACAGTCAATTCACTTTATAGTATATAGATTTAAAATATTTGTTAAAAAGAAACAGAGAGGAGGTGAGAAGAAATCTTTTCACACAGCAAGTTGTTTGGATCTGGAATGCATTGCCTATAAGAGTGATGGAAGCGATTTGATAACACCTCTTAAGAGAGAAGTAGATAATTATTTGTGGAGGACAAGTTTGCAGGGCTATGGGGAGAGAGCAGGGGAGTGGGATTGATTTGGATAGCTCTTTTCAAAGAGCCGGCACAGGCATGATGGACCGAATGACCTCCTTCTGTTCTGTATAATTCTATGATTCTATATCCTGTGAAGCGTTTTGAGATGTCTCGAAGACGTGATAAGACGCTATATCAAATGCAAGGATTATTAAGTCAGACTTTTACAATGCCTCTCTTCTTCATACTCACTTGCACAACTGCACTCCAATATCTGAATGGACAAAGGAGAGTCTTTGTCAGTGTTCCACTTAATTGACAGAAAGTTCACATCCCTGTACTTTTAAGATCACCTTTCTACCAGATACGGACACAGAGTGTTATTTGTTATTGAATTACAAGGTGTTGTTTCAACAACAATAACAACAAAATTACATTTGTATAGCGCCTTTCATGTCGGGAGGACATCCCAAGATTTCACTAGCAAATTTGCACCCTCAGTTGTTGCTGGAATAGCAGTGAATCGAGAGTTTTGTAATTTGTTAAACCCTAAATGAGTGGAGGAATGTTTCAAAAAAAAGCTGAACAGAGCGTTAAAGGGAAGAGCCAGCACACTGAAATGTTATAGAAGAAACTGCTTCTTATTAATTTTAAAATACAGTGCATTGAATGGATCACATGAGAGCTTTCAACAGATCACTGGGTTATAAGCCCAATGTGAGCCGTAGTTTAGACCGCAGCAGGTGAGAATCACATTTCTGTGGAAACCTTATCTTTCTGGTTTTAGGAGGAGCTCACACCTTTGTGTGCTCTCAGCATAGCTTCTAGGAAAATCTTTTTTTCCTGACTTTCCCAACTTCATGCTGCTGATTATCATCTAAAATTCATGCCTTCTTGTCCTCGTATCACTTACTTGTGGAATTATCCCCTCAATGTTGTGACTTTAATCTCATAGTCTTGGCTGACTAGGGGATTACTGCATTGCTGGTGATGCTGTCCCTCAGGTGAGATTTTATACCAAGGTCCTGTCTGCCTGCTCCAGGGCAGGTTAAAGATCCCAAGTCTATTTGAAAAGAGAGGGGAGATTCTCCCAGTGTCCTGCCCAACAATTTCCAGACAAAATTACCTTTCACTTCATGACTTTGCTGAGTACGAATTGGCTGCCACATTCAGCTGCAAACTGTCATTACAGTTTACAGAAAACTTTCATTATCTTGAATGCCTCTATCATCTCATCCATTAACTTTCTGTGCTCGGTGACAGTAGCTCTGTTGAGAGGGGATTATCGGTTATAGGGATAATAAAGTTTCAACCTGTTTACCGTTGAGCTAAGAAGCTGGAGGTTAAGTGCTGAATGGAGCCAGTGATAGGAGTATCAGACATTAGCTGTGGAAGGAACAGATTCGATAGAACAAATGGTCTTTTTATTGCCCCAGCTCATTTGATGTTTCAAATGCATTTTTAAAGAGAATGCAAATAAACACACACACACAGGTACCTGCTTTGTGAAATTTCTGTAGAATCTCCAGCCGTAATGATTTTTCCAGGTTAAAATAATTGTTCTCTTCTTCCACATTCTGGAGAAATAGCGGGATGTGCTGAAAGACAATCACGTGTTTACACTTGCATTGTTCGGCCACAGCAAGTTGTGCTTCGAGCCAGCGATCGTGGGCTTGTTTCAGCTCGGGACACCGGGAAGCATCATAGTAGAACTGTGAGTTCAGCACGAGGAACATGACTCCCCCCACCCAGAAGGTGAAGTAATCGTCACCCCAGTGACTGCAGTATTCTGCGATGTTCTCCGGGGTTGGAGTGTTTCCTATATCGTGGTTACCGCTGACAAAAACCAGTGGAATAGTGGGATTGATGCCCTTCAGAGTACGCTTCAGGTCACCCAGCTGCTCCTCTCGCCAACGGCTCCCTGAAAATATTAAAAAAAGATCCGTGTGTGTGGGCTGATCCTTTTTTTTTAACTCCAAAATTATAACAACTTGCCTTTTATACAATGCCTTTCAAGAAGGATAAACGGCTTGAAGCTCCTTACATTTAAGGTCAATTGGAAATGAAGTGAACATTGTCATGGAGGTGAAAGTGGCAGCTCATTTGCAACAGAGATGTTTCCCACAAAACAGCGGTGAGAGCAGTTAGCTGTTTACTTTCGGCAATTTTTTTGAAGTGAATCGAGATGGGATGGAGAAGAGGTAGTGAGAGGAATTCAATCGGGGACAGCAGGGGGAAACTCGCGTTTGATATAGAATGTTATTTAGGCACAGCAGTGTTTTGCCGTCCTTTTCTCCCAATGAAAAGGCAGTTTGAACAAACAGGTAGGCGCCTTTCTTGCCTGGTTACCCTGCAGTTTAGAGCACAAAAATTCTCAATGAGCCACATTGTAAAGCTCGTATTGCATGATTCTGAATACATAATAATAACAATCCTCGCATTTGATGCAGCGCCTTATCACGTCTTCGAGAATATACTGTAAAGTGAATTGACTATATTTTGTGGGGTGAGAAACGCAGCAGCCAATTGTGCACAGCAGCGTCCCACAAACAGTCGAGTGACCAGATACTTTTTTTAAAGGGATTATTTACCCCTGGAAAAGCGAATCAACTATCAACCGGGTTCCTGCTTACTGCTGGTGAACAGAGGCGTGTGGAGTAAGGAAACTTGCCCAACGTTTCGCCCTGCCGGGAATCAAACCCAGGTCCTCTCACTTACGAGGTAAATGCTCTAACCACTAAGCTACAGGGCTCCATACGTAGGAGCAATAGCAAGCTGTGCCACCATGCCGCTTTTTAAATGCTCCTCATAATCCATTCATGAAATGAATACGTAAGGAATATAGAAAATAATGATTTGTTAAATGTGCTACACTTTAATGACTTTAACAGTGTATTGCAACACATGCTTAATAATCATCTTAAATATTAAAAGGCCCATGAACCGGAATATTAGACTCACAATTAGCAATTGTGTCTAATTGTGAAGAGTTTTAGGCCAATTAGCCAAATTGTTTCAATAACATATTAAATGAATAATCTTGATATACATTAGAGGCAGTTACTGCAACATAAATTGAACCAAAAATAAAGGCAGAACCTAGATTATTAAGCTCATTAAAAGCTTAGCATATGTTTACTTGCTTCAGAGAGTGATTGTAATGGTTCTTATGTGCAAAGCTTTACTATTGGAAGATTTTGTTCATTTTTTGGGGCGTCTTGAACACAAGTTTGTTTCTCTTTTTAATGGTTATGTAGTTAAGTCGTTTTCGTTTTTTTTAACTATTCAAAATGACATTTCTTTTCGTCCCAAAATGTTTTCACCAAAAATTGCTGTGTGATTTCATGAAACAATCTGCCTTTGAAATCTTCATTCTTTCCTCGTTTTTGTTCTAAAATATTTGAAGGCTGCTGTGGACCTGAGGCTCGAGGTGGTGTCACCGGTTGCTGAATTAACTCACCTCTCTGGGGGACACGAGAGGGGTGGGGGAACGGGGGGCGGGGGGGGGGGGGGGGGTAAAGAGGGATGGAATTATTACAATTGCTTCATTCTTTCTATGTTTGGTTGGGAAGTATCGACCAGTTTCTGCTCATTTTTTTCATTCCTTGAAAATTTACAGCACAGTAGGCCATTCAGCCAATTGTGTCTACCACTGCTCATTCAAACAGCAATCCATACAGTCCCTTGGGCTTGCCATTTCCCCAATCTCATGTGGGCTCACGTGAGAAGGGAATTTGGTGGAGGTAGCAGAGGGCAGCCGACACCTCGGTTGTTAAATTTAACTAGAAATACGTTTACATTTCCTTAAGAGTTGACTCTAACTTCCTCAATTACATCCTCGCTCAGGAGGGTGCCTAAAGTGGGTTGCGTTTGAGTACAAGCGTACAGAATGAGTTTGATAATATTCTTTCCTTAACTGATTCTAAATTAGCAATCGGTTCAGAGAGGACGTAAGGGCCAGACGTAGAAAGTAGAAATGCCGCAATGGGTTACAGTACTGTGTGGGGAGACACAATTGCAAGTTGCATTCGAAAATTTTCTCAATTCCACAACCTGAAGAAGGACAAAGAGGAAAAACGTCTTGTTGTATAATCCGTTATTTTGAAAGAGACAACTTGTCTTGAAACATATAAACTATCTGGTGGGGGGGTTGGGGTGGAGAGAGAGAGCAGTGTTGTTTCCACAGAATGATAAGCTGTGATGCAATTTACATTCTTTGGACAAAGCATCGGCAAACAAATGAAACTGACTCTTATCAAGACAGATTCTCTTTGATAGGAGAATTTGGGAGGCGAGAGTGCTCCCAACTGAGCCAGTCTGACACCTAAACGATGTCCAACTCTTTAAGAGCAACTCCACTTCAGTTGATCAGTATTAACATTTTACTTGCTGTTTCTACAATTGTTGCTTAGTTTCTACAGGTATAAAACTAATCCTCCCTCTTTGTACCTCTCTCTACCTTTAGAAACCTCCTCGAAAATACCACTCTTCAACTGTGCTTTTTGATCAACGTTTTAAATCTGTCATTCTCCTGGATCTGGTCTCCACCGCTAGGTTTGGCAAGTGCTTTCTTTTGCATAAAAAAATTTGTATAAATACAAGGTGTTGTTGACCAACGAGAGTAGATAATTCAGAGCAGGGATTTCAGTCAATGGGTCTGAATGGCTGCACAATGCAAACAGCAGCATCGTCTGCTCATGGGATTCGCGGATGTTTACAAGCACTCGATCCCCAGCTCAGGACTTGCATCTGATTTTGTTGAGTGTACGCAGCACATTAATCATGAAAAGATTAACATTAAAGGCGAACTGTCGTTGAGCAAATGCAGATAAACCTTTTCTGTTGGCAAATGTGTGTCAAGCAGTGGCTTGAACGGCACTGAAACACGCAACTTATTGTTTGAGTGTGATGTCTTTAATCCCTAAAATCGTGTCTCTCCTGAAGTAAACAAAAAACACTCGTGCCTTAAAATTGAAGTAAGATTATAATTCCTTCGTCAACCGAGGCATTTCAAGATGCAGTTAATCTGTTTCAAAGAACATGTTGGCTGTGATTCAAACCCAAGCTCTTTTCTTTTTTGACCAGTTATGCATCTGATGCACCGAAACCCATCGTCGTGCTTTAGAGTCTCTAAACTAAACCAGTGAGTGTTCCACATTTGTATGACTTCCAGTTATCTAATAAGGATTGCTAACTCTCCTCCCCGCAGACTTGCAGCCTGCTTATCCAATTCCAGAAAATTTTGGCAGCAGGTTGCCAAGAGACAAGGCCTGGGGACTCCAGAGTGTGCGTTGAGGGTAATCCTGATGTTTAACCAACTAAAGCCATTGCAGAAAACTAGTAAGCTTCCTGCTGTTCGTTGGATTATAATCACTATTACTTTTGCTTGCAGCATTACCAGTCTTAGCTCCCAGTGACTGGTCTGATCTTCCAATTCCTGCATAAAATGTGTGATAGTATTGCCATCATTGTCCTGCCCATACACCCCTACCCATTGAGTAGCAACTGCTTATCTCTCTGCTTACCAATCAAGGTGGATACCAAACGCTGGAGTGTTTGTTCATGAACCCAGTTTCCAGATAATACCTTCAAACAGCTGTTCTCCCAAGCGATAAGAGTTTCCTCATCAACTATTCAATGGATATCTGACTTCAGTGTGGCAGGCGGACCTATACAGGACAACTTGTTTAGTGCGGAATTAAAATATCTTTTACTTCTGTAAATCTTGTTCTAAAAGCCAATATATTTGACAATCCAAGACGTAGGAACAGGATTAGGCCATTCAGCCCCTCAAATCTGTTCCGCTACTCTATATGATCAACTCTCAACTCCAGGACCCAAATTGTTTTCTGTGCAGTGGCATGTTCAAATAAGAAAGCCAAACGAAGCTAGTCGTTTCATTTTTTTTCTTATCCTACTGCTGCAGTAACAGAATCTTCTCTCTAAACTGTGGATTTTTCTTACATGATTATTTTCTGTCACCTCAGTTCACATGAATCCTCCAGAGCCAAGATTTAATTGTGCACACTACGGAACATACATTTTCTCATTGAAAACCTGTCTGGCTCAGCCGAGAATTAAAAATCAGAGTAAATTAAAAGGGCTCAGCAATTTAGCCTTTGGATGAGTCACTTAACATTCCTTATGCCTTGTCTTCCTCATTCAGTATCTTTTTGGTCTATTTCAAAATCTATTATTTTTAAGTTGAATAAAAATAATTTCTATCTTTCTCCTCCTTTGTTTTAGGTGGTTAAACTCCAGCAGGATCCCAATGAACAATTATGGGGGATCCCAAGCCTAGGGTCTTGCCAACCTGCGCCTAATATTTTTTAGGATTAGGTAAAACAAAGGGAAATTTCCGTATGTAAATGACTTGCATATGTGGAACTCTCTCTGGTTTGAATACTTTTAAGCCTGGCAATGAGCTTCCATATCCTCTATATCAAATATTTGCCAACCAAACAAAAAATCTTTCTGTTTCATCTCTCATCTTCTCCCTGTACTCGATGCTCTATTTTGTCTTCTCTCTGAAGACAGTTCTGAAGTTGTGCAGTTTGCTGTGTGTGATACTGTATTGTGGGAGCAAACCTGCATCCTAATCCACGTCTATAGCAATAAAATGGATGTCAGCCTCAGTGTTTATTTTAAACTGCAATAATCCTCCACCACATCCACAACTGTACGAAGGTCTGAACTTTTGAAAGTTGTGCCTGAACTAATTGATTCTTGGCCGTAGTCTATTTAGAAAACCCCAAATCTAGTTAAACTCTAGACTTGTCGTCTTATATGATTTAGAATCGCAATTATGCCACAACCGTGCAGAATGCAGCACGTAGTTCAAGGCTCCTTTACTATGAGAAAAACATTTCTCCCCAAATGCAAATCTGAATAGCATTTTCCTGACACTTCGCTTGTGAACAA